ATTTTTCTTTATTAAAGAAAAAAATAAAATCAAATTTTAATGTACAAACCCACCCAACTTTTGCAGAAAGCATAAATCCAAAGCATTTGTCCTTTATTACACCTCATAATCCATAAACTTCAGCAAGACCACTTAATCCCTATGCACTTCTGTTAAACTTGTTAAATACTTTATTACTTGGTCTATGGAAGCACTTGAAATAGTACATGGCAAAGCAAACTATTCCCTCCTCCTTCTCTCCCTCTCCACCCGCCAAATACTAACGGTTCTTCCATTAAGACTTTGAGGGGGCTAGAAGGGAACAATTTCACTACTACTGCTTGACAGCAGTGCCAAGACAGCTACTTGTAAAAACAGAACTGTGATGCAAAAAATTTGGAGAGAGATGACAAAGAACAAAAGCAATATTTGTAAAGAGCTAACCTTTGACATAGCAGGTCTAATTCAAACACTGTGTCTCAAATAAATGAAAAATTTTAAAAATCATCATCAAAAAGGGATTAGATACTTTGTTGTGTAATCTCACAGTGTTTATAGGATTTTGTTAAATTGTATTGTTAAATATAACACAGGAAAGATTTTTCTTTTACACATCAACAGAACTTCAGAGGGATGTAACTGATCAGCAAAACGTAAGTCATTAGAATGTTCACTGAAGACATTAGAAAAGATAGTCCTTTTTGGACAGCCTTCTGTAAAACAGCAACAGATGCCCATGAATAACACCAAATTTGTTGAGCACAGTTTAGCTTCATTTGTATCACGGATACATTTTGTAAAGTCCTGGAAAGGGCTGAAGAAAGGCAGAATTAGCTTTTTTTCTTAAAATATGCCTTGTTAAAAGCGACATACCAAATACAAGAACTCACCTCTAAATAAGAGACAGCAATATTGCATATTTTATCTTCTTTTATTTCATCCATGCAACTATAAAGCGCCATCATGGTTAAATACATCACACCAGGATCTTCAGGAGAACCCAGCATCGTATGAGTCTTTCCAGCTCCCGTTGCACCATATGCAAGCACTGAAGTTTCACAGAACAACAATACAGCACAGAGACACACTTTATACCAGTAAGCTAATCAGGAACACAAGTGTCAAATGGACATCCCCACACCTCTGTTATTCTGCATAGCTGTTTGCATAAACTGATCAAGTTTCTTACTTAGGCTTTACCTTTTACAGCTATAATCAGGAAGCTATTTCAAAAAACTCACATTTATTGTTGAATTTTCAGTTCAAAATTTACTCACTGGCAATTTATGATGAAACTTTGCTTTCTCTCTTAATCCTAAACCTTCAATTTATTGCAGGTAGGTTACTTCATTTCCCCACTACACTCCATCTGCCAATTAAAAGAACCAAGCTCTTAAAGAGAATTCAGAAAGCAGGCTATGACACAGTGACACAGCCGCTTCTGGTTAAGTAACTCTTTCCAGAAAGCTCCCCTCATAAGCATATGCACATCCAATAAAATTCTAAAGTCTATTACAGCCCTAACATGAACTTATTTTCAAAATAGAGCTATCCTAACTTCCACAGGCCAAAACCTCAGCCTCTTGTATCCATAAATTAAAATGAAAATATTTATATTATTTACATCTCAGGTTCTCTCAAGGCTTCTGCAGCCATTGGACACAATGGTAGAAACTTTGAGGAATTCTGTAAAGTTTTTAATTGCAGATGATAAATAGTAAAGTTACCTGTGCAGTTATATCCATTTAAGAAGCCATCGATCACACTTTTGGTAGTATGCTCAAAAACTTCCAATTGCGTTGAACTTTCAGCAAAAACAGCATCAAACACGAATTTCAGGTCTTTCTTTTGTCTTTTATTAATATCCCTATGGGTCATTTTCTTTCCATGAAAAAAGCTAACTTCTTCCTCCTTTGGATCAAAGACCAATATATGCTGGTCAACAACATGGACAACCTTGGTAAAGTTGCCATCTCTTTCCTTTTGAGATTCTGGACGGACACGGACCACCACTTTGACATGATTACAGACATCTTCCTTAGTAGCAGACATAACATCCCTTTAGTCCCTCTTCCTCACTTCCAGGACTCTTTCAGATCAAGCAGCTGAATCTTCTCTGAAATTAACAAAAAAATACCCCAAAGCTTGAAAGGCCTTATATTTCAAATATAACCTTCTGAATAGTCCATGCTTTTAACTAGGACTAGCATCTTGCACTTGTACTGCATCTCCCCTTCCCTCTGTTAGCTAGCCCTTTGGAAAGCACGGTAACCGGCCTGAAAAGGTGACCCAATTCAGCACAGCTTTAAGAACAGGAATTAGTATTTTTCCGATAAATTCTTAAGCTTATTTCAACAATTTAAACTCGTAAAACACCTATCGGCTTTCCTTCATTTGAGAGCAAGCTTGCAGATAAGCTACCGGGTTTCCATAGACTAAAGGGAAGTGGAGGTTTTTTTGTCCTTTAATAAAACACAGAGCAACCGCTTATCTGCTTTCTCTGAGTTACTGGTTTAGTCAAGTAGGACGTAGGTTTAAAGAGACAGGTAAAATGGGATTCACGTTAACATAATTCATAAAGGGTACAAAAACACCTTCCACGTATGTCAAACCAGAACTTCCTTTTAATGGGCCATTATTGCTGACAACACCAGACAGCGACCTTCGCAGTAGAGGGTCCTGGTAACGCTTTTGCGGCCTTAGGGCAAACCGCGCCCCTCTCAGCCGAGCTACCTCACAAACTCCGGGTTGACTAAAACACGGCCGCGAAGCAAAGCCATAAACCGGCGAGAGCACCCAGCTACCGGCAAGCGCAGCGCAGCCCTCCCCG